TTAGACAAATTCACCCCAAACATGAAGCATCACCACCACCAAAATCAAGGCCTTTCACCCAGTAATAACACTGGTACTGCTGCAGTGGTCACGAAGTGAAATCTGGCTCACAGAGTGAATTTCCAGGAATAAGCACAAAGAAAACTCTGTCTTTGAAAACCACATCACCTGTAGGCGGAAGAAAGGGGGGGGGGAAATGATTTGCAATTAAATGGGTCTCATCAACACTTGTTCTTTTTATTCTTCAGAGCAAACAAGTCAAATATTGTAAGTGGAAGCTCAAAAGCAGGGCAGGCTGGGCAGCTGCCAGCTCTTGGTCGATGTTGATGGGGTCTTATCAGCCACAGTTGCCTCAGGACTCATTCTTGGCCTTCCCACTTAAGACGCCGTTTTCTCTCTGTGTAGACCTTAATTTTGAAGGATTAGATAAAGAGAAGACTGTTTCAAAGACAAACTTATTGGCAGGAGCTTGAGATGGCAGGACTATTGCTGAATGGCAGCGAAAGCCGACCCAGCCGGTGGCACTTTGCATTTGCAGACTGGTTTCCCCTAAGGATTAAAACCCATGTATTCTGTGCACATCACAAAAATTAATGTATTTAGAGCTGGTTCAGATTGACTCCCAAAAACTCCACCAACTGTTACCAGGGATATTTGGGTCTCTCACATGACATTACAAGGACATCAGGGCTTCTCCTTCACGAGTGGAGTCCATGCTCATCTCCAGTGTTGCAAAGCATCCTTCCTGCTGGCTGCATTTACCAGCCAGCCCTGAACTTGCAGCTCTCTTATTCACCGGTGTTTCCTTGTCTTGACTGTTCTTCACACACAGGAAATGAAAAGGGAGCTTTCCCACCCAAATACAACTTACTGGTAGCGATGGTGGGAAACTGAACATTCTATTAAATTTCACATTTTTTTCCCCTGGAACTCCAAAACATTTTAATTCCAAGATGTGCTTTCATGTCTTCATCTTTGACAGAATTTAACTGCAACTTTTTAAGGTGATTAGTTAAGTGTTCCGAACAGCATATCCATCTATATAAAATATTAGGTTATATTCATGAAGAGCATATTTATTGCAACAAATACACAGGCATCTACCCAACAGAGAGAACAAGGCAACACTGTGGAGAAGGCCTTTCTCCTAGGGGTAGCTGATTTATTCTTGTTCATTATAGGTTCTTTCCCATTATTTTCTGGAATTTCAGGTGCTAGCCCCTGATAACAAACAGGTATTGGACACCCGATCTGGGATGGCACTTTTAATTCACAAAAATAAAACTGCAAATAAAACAAAGAGTAAGTTGGCATGATTTGAACACCTTCTGGGAAAGGTGCTCCCACTGTCCTTGTCACTACACATCTGCCTGGGGATTTTAAAAGGGATGTGAAGTCTGACACCTGGTTGGATTTCCCACTCTTCCCACACCCCCTCTGTATCCAAGATCCTGCCTTTGGCTGGAAAGGGTGCTGCACACAACCCCCTGCTGAAAGCAGAGCCATCCTCAGTGGTTCACAGGTGCTGGGTTTGGACACACAGGGGCTCCAGCTGCTCCAAAATAAAGTCTTGCACTTCAGCTGCACTTGAGACTGCACAGACAGCCCTTCCCTGCGAGTCAGCTCTGCTTCAGGACGGCTGGGAAAGCCCTCAAAGGAACAGGAACTGCTTGCAAAAGCTGAGGTTTTGCCCCAGTTCAAAGGCAAATTGAGATTTGTCTATTTGCACAAGGTTTTCTAAGCTTACACACGAGGTTACACAAGAGACAGCAGCTTTCTAGACTGCACACAAATGAGGAAAAGCTCATGTGGGATAAAGCACATGTGGAAAGCAGCCGGATCAGCAGAGTGACTGGGAGCACACTGCTCTGGGGCTGTGAGCTGCACTTCCACAGCCTGTGTGTGGTGTGGATCCTGGAAAAGGCCAGCAGGCAGTCGGCGGGGGAGCCAGCACGCCTCATTCCCTGCAATCCAGACCTATGCCAGGACGAGCTGGAGAGCAGCAAGCAGGAAAGGACTGAGCTCTGGAAACTTTATCCTGCATTACTGAAAGCCCTGCTGAGCGAACACCAACTTGCTCTTACATAACCCCCCATTCCGGGGAAGGAGCAGCAGCCAGGAGATAATGCGCGTAAGGAGGATCACGCCTAATTCCCGGCAGTCCTACACCAAACCACCACTCTCACCCCGCTGCTCTTTGGATGAAATAGACCTGACAGCAGAATTCTGGGATGCAGAGGATGGCAGACTCCTTCCCAAGGAGAGCCAAGGCCTGGGAGATGGAGCTGTGCTGAAGTTTACGGGCACATCTCAAAGCGCCACGACCTGCTGTAAGCTCACTGCCGACCTAAAATGGCACTAAACCCAAACTGATCTAAGTTAAGACAACACAGTTTCTGTGGCAGGAAATACTCCCTGTCCACGGCCCAAAGGGAAGAACAGTAGGTTAGGAGATCACAGGTGATCTGGTCACCAGTTAAGAGGATAGCACTTGTCAAACCCCTGCTTTTGTTCGCAGTGCTGGTCTCTCTGTCAGAAGAAGAGCCAAGATGATATTCCTCAGGCCAGGAAGAGAAATAATTGTTTATTTACACAGGGAGTTCCTAACAGAGCTGACCCTCCTCACTGGATCACTGGATAAATGCACGGAGCCACTCTGGGAGAGGAACAAAAGCCTAGGCAGAGCAGGAACAGTGCAGGGCTCTGCACCCCCAGCAAGGCCAGGATGGATGTCCGCAGGCGTAGAACAACAGGGTGCAATGCCTTGCTGCCATCACCCAGCCTGAGAGACACCACGTGCTTCAGCCCATGGCACCTCTGGCCGTGCTCCAGAGGCAGCTGTAAACGGAGCAGCAGAGCAGGCTGCAAGAAATCTATAACAGGAATGGCAAAAAGGAAGGGTGCTTTAGGTGTCCCCTGCTCCCCCTATGTGCTCCTGCTCTGGAGAGGCCTCCTCGCTACAGCTGCTGCACCACAGCCTCGAGAGGGCTGATTTTTATGCATATTCACCCAATCTCTACTCAGCCCAGGGGCCAGTGCACTGTGAGCTCCATTCTGAGCCCCAGCCCAGCCGGGTGGTGCAGGGCAGGGGGGGTTCACTGCCCGGGGGGAGCTGTCACTGGGCACGGGGGTGTTCACTGCCCGAGGATGCTCCTGCTCACCCAACCACGGCTGGCGCAAGGAAGGAGCCAGCCCGCTCCCTCCCTCCCAGGGCTATTTTCAGCGGGAATAAGGCGGTAAACAAGGAGCGGGGCGGGCGCGCGGCCGTGTTCTCTCACCTGCTTCACCTGCAGATCCACCACCGTCTGGAAGACGTGCGCTACCAGCAGGGAGATGCTGGCGATGAGCAGCGTCATGGCCAGGACCCCCACGGTGACGAGGCACAGCGACTTCATGGCTGCGGCTGCTGCTGTCGCCGCCGAACGGGGACACCCCGAGCTCCGCCGGGCGCCGGCTCCGGGGGCGGGCGGACACCGGGCCCCGCCTGCCCGCGCCGGGAGGAGCCGCCGCCTCCGCCCCGCGGGGCTGGGGGTGGACCGCGGCTCTCCCGGGGGATGCTCTCCCGGCTCGCCGGGAAAGGCTGGATGTATCCCGAAAGAACTGAAGGTTTGCTTCCTGCCCGCCGGCCCTGGCACAGCCGGAATCTTCCCGTGTGCCGGCGACGGGAGCTGCTAGTGCGCCTCGCTCCGTGCATCGTCACGGGCTTCGCTGGGAAACGAGCGGAAAAAAATTCTCCGGCCAGATTATTAGGGAAAAACTTGTAGGGGACGTGAAGCTTCCCAGGGATCGGATTATGCCACAATACAACGCATTTCAGCTGCCAAAGGGCTCCTGTGCCATCACCGAGCTTCCAGCAGCATTAGCGTTTCCCAAACCCATGAGTCAGTTCCCTCCCCAAATCACGAGACTGGCAGCTCGCCAGCAGCAGCCTGATCCAAATAATGCCTTGCCTAGCAGAGGGCAAGTAGCCCATCAGGTGGATTTCCTGCTAAGATGGACTGAAATAATTTTCCTTTATAAATTTTTCTTCCTGTCATTGTGATTGCAGTAACAGTGTTATGTTAACATGTGCCCTTCTGGGTATTTTTGTTTAGAAAAGGTTCTGAGGTCACATTTCACAGTTGTTTGGAAGACCAGAATTTTTGTGGTTCCACCCAGGCTAATAAAAAAAAAAATATTGTTCTGGCAGCTTGTTTTTGTTTAGATTCCCATTCCAGAGTGTTGTTCTTAGCCCTGTTTTATCATTAGCACTCAAAACCCCCCCAACAAACCCCCAACCAAAAACCCCAAGCAACAGAGTACATAATTAGAATCTGGTTTTAAAGACTAATTTAACTACAGCAATAGAATTCTCCCCTTAGAAGGAGTCTTCCATGGGAATTCTCTCTCCGAAACCATAAACCTTCCCTTCCACCATAAAATATTGGCCTTTGGTGGGGACCAGCTGCAGTGACATTGTTTACAAGCAGCTCGCTCCTCCTGCAGCACATGAAACACATTTTCCACGGCTGCTGAAACAGTGCAATGGAGAAGTTTTTCTTGTCTCACCTCAGGTAGTTTAACTGCTCCATGACTTCTGTTTTCCAGTGAGGATCTCCTGATGCACACGCTCCAACGCCAGGGCTGTTGTCCCCAAATCGGAGATAAATACAGGAGTACAGGAATATACAAGACCAGGAGTATACAGCAATTCTCTAGTTATGCAGGGCCATTTTTATCACAACTACTTTCCACAGCCATCAGGCATTTCTTTATTCGTGATGTTAAAGAACATACTGGTTTATCTGAGCACCGAAACCCTGGCAAATCAAAAGAAAGGCAGGAATATTTAAGAAATTCTATCTTAATTGGGAGATATTTTGGTTTTTCAAAGGCTAAATTTAGTTTGCTACTGAAACAGATAAAGGATCCTTGCAGACCACGAGATCACTGAAATTCTTTTTGCTGAACCCTGGCATGAATATTTATAGCTCAAGCAAAGATTTCTGCAGAAATTTGAGTTTGCTTAATTCATTATTTCAGTTTATTTTTCTACAAAGAGCTACCCATGTGATGCATAGAACCACACCCCTTCTCCAAGCAGATTTTCTCGACTCTCAGCAAGAATTTTTTTCTTTTTTTTGGCAAATTATTTTACCTTTGGAAACCAAGGAAGTGCTCACTGGCCATGGTACATTGAAAACATTCCCGTGAGGAGCAACTCCACCTCTGAAGTGCAGCACGGGAATGCAGTGGGTGCACTGCTGGCTCAAGGCACAGTTCTGTCTCACAACTGCAGATCCCTGAGACAAGCAGAGGCACATCTTCCCTTTCCAAAATCATGATGATACTGCCAGGAAGAGAGGCAGACAAGGCCCACATTCTGGAAAGCGTGTACATGATGAAACAGTCCTGTCCCATGCACTGGGAATACCTTGAAGAGACATAAAAAGCCAAACTTACTGAGCTTGTCAAGTGGCTTCTTCAGTTTGTGCAACACCAGTTACTCAGCTCCTTCAGGTCTGTGTAGGGAGGGGAAAAGCTTCTCAGGGAAGGAATTAGGAAATCACAGAGCACAGTATCAGACAAATCAGAACAGACCCCAGAAATCCTTAATCCTACTCCTGGGGTTTAGTAACTATCAGACATTTCTCCAGTGGATGTCTTATGCTGGCCACAATAAAGGGCTGGAACAGCACACAGAAGGGGTGGGGTGTTTTTCCTTGTCTCTGTGTGCATCCATGTCACTTCATGGATCTCTGCTCTTCGACACCCCAGACAGGAATCGTGCCTTCCCTTACTTCAGCATTTGGTACTACAATCATCTGCCCCTGTTGCCAGACCTGTTCACACCACGTCCAACTGGATCCAGATCTTGCGCTGCTTCCTTTAGGAGCTGTGACCTGAGGGCACACAGACACATGAAACAGGAGTGTAGTTTCATCTCAACACCAAGAATGCAGCTGCAACTAGAAAAGTGCTTTACTTAATAAATGCTCTACCAGTTTCTGTCTTATCTACAATTTGGCTTTCAGAGGCTTTGCTCTTCTGCTTTCCCTGCACAGCTAACACACCTCCTTGTCATCAATGAACTCACACACACTGGGTATGTTTCTAGTACTCCATGCTTAATTAATAAAATAATAACCTAATTATAAGATCCTGATTTCAGCTGAGAGTTGAGACATTTCTGAAAGGTTTTTAAGTGGGTAGAGATCGCATTTCACTGTCTCCAGCTTTAATTTATTCTTCCCACACAGTGCAAATTAAGTGCTGGCAGGAAAGCAGTTCACTACGGGGCAGAGCTACACTGCAATTACCAGGACCATCAGTGACCTTGGAGAGGGCTGGGAGTAAAGCTGGGGCTTGTGTAAGAGCAGCCTTTGCTCTTGGGTTAGAACTGCCAGATTTGGGACTATGACAACTCAGGGGACGAGAGATTTGCCTACAGCACTTAATTTTGCTGCTGAGGAAATTAATACTCTTAACTATTACCAGAACAGCAGTAAAAATGTTCTTCCCTCTGAAATTTGGGCCTGCTTGACTCTCCTGCTTTTGACACTCTCCAGCTAAATAACCACAGTCCTCATGGATTGTAAGACACACACAGAGAGACATACATGTCCTAACTGTGATATAGATCACATAGCACATTTTACAATTGCACACACCCAGAGCCATATTCCTCATCATCTGAGCTACACCAGAATTAGCAAGGGCAGCCAGTCACACCCATCAGCTACTCCTGGTCTCGTTTGCTGCTCCCCTGACTCACCGGCCGCTTCTGCTCATGGAGCCTCCTGACCCAGGGGTGCCCAACTGTGTGGGAGAATGTCACTAGGGGCTGTGAAACAGGGATCTCGCTGGGAAAGGAAGGCAAGGAAGCTGCAGGGCGTGCACTGGGATGAATGGGAGGCTCTGGCAAGCGGCACTGTCTGGATAACCTACACAAGGTTTGCTCAGGGCCTGGCTTGCAGTGCCAAGCCCAACTAATCAGTAAAGCTCCTGCTGCCAGAGTTTTACTCCCTTAATTCAGGTTTTAGTGGCTGCCATACAGATCGCAGCAGGAAGAACACTGTCTTTCGAGTGCTTGATCTCTTAAGCATTGCCCACAGAGACTGATACAACCTCTTCAAACCCTCATTCTTCCATACAGCCCTGAGGCAGCTCCAGGACCAACCAGATTTACTTGTCCTGCTCCTGCTGAGCACTACAAACAGCCCTGGACTGCTGGGAACACCCTCTGCACACCAAGGGACAAGCACAAGTGTGGGAGCACCCAGGGAGGAACCAAAAGCACAGCTGATATGTGCTCCTGCTGCTCCCAGCACAGGAAAACCTGGCAAAAACAACCCTGGAGAAAGGCAAAACTAGTCGAGGATTGTGTTCCCTCTTTCCTTATAAACCCCCTGCCCCTCATTACTGATTAGAAACAGGAAGCCAACAAAGCCTGAACAAAAATGTAACTCTGATCTTACTATAGATACAGAGAGTTATAAGGAGCTGGCAGGTTTCTGGCACAGCTGGCTAACAGGGTCAGGTTAGTCATACAGGTCAGGTACTTTATCAGTCATACACTTTCCCATCAATATAAGACACTGGAGAGCAGAGACTTTACCCTCCAGCCTTGAAAACCTCTCCTGATAACCCTGAACATGCCAGAAATTATAAATAACCTGTCATTCAAACAGAATAAATGGTGCTTGTGTACCTTTTCCTATAGTATGACATGTATGCCTCCTGAAAAAGGGAGGATGACAGTCTAGGACTGTCAGTGGGACTTCAGGGCCCAAATCCCACAGCAGTGGATGAACTCTCTGGCCCCTGACCCAAAGCCTCCCAAAGGAATGGGGCAGAGAGGGAGACCTGTTCCATTTATTTGCCCCATCTGGGACTCAGCCTGACTGAGTTTCAGCAACCCACACCTACTTTTAAGTGAACTGTACTAGGAGAGCACATTTAAAATTAGCAAACCAATGGCACACATTTCCCTCTCCTGTGAGTGGTATCCCACATGAATGCCACTCTGTGAAGGATGCTCCATTGGGATATGATAGGGCAGACTCTAGGAGTTTTGTTTTCCTTTTGTTAGCCTATGCTCAACTGCTTATTGATCTGAAAGAGTTCAGGAGCAGATTCTGGCACTTAGGATGTCTGCTGCTGCATTAAAACCTGGATGCACACTGCCTCTCCACACTATTTTGAGGAAAAGAGGAGGTCTTGCTCCAGGGATTTTCACAGCCTCTGCTAACTGCATTTGAGAGGCTGCAGACCTACAATCAGAGTCTGCTTTGTTCTGAGCCTGCATTATGTCACAGCCCGAGATCTTCCCCCGTTCCTGAAACACACACAGGTATTGAAGGCTGCAATTACATGATTTTGCCTGCCTGCATCACATTATGATTTACTGAGACACTGAACTAACTCTGATTAAAATTCTGCAATGTCTCTTTTAGCTTCAGTGGTGCCAGAGCAGCACAGCTGAGCTCTTCTGGAGTCTTTCCATCCACAAAGCCTGTGCTCTGCGTCCTTAAAGTGCACCAAACTCATTGGCACAGATGAGGGAAGACCAAAACGGCTCACACTGGGAATCTCTCCCTGATTCCCAGTGTCTACTGCACTTAAATGCACACTTGGTAGGCCCAGAAATAAGGGCACAATGAGTCATCTTTAATCCCAAGCCCTGCTCCCGGACAGTCGGTGGCAGCCGGTGGCAAACAAGCGCTTTGTATGTCAGCCTGGATACAAACAGCTCCTGCCTGCCAGCTCACACAAGGGGGCTGTGTGTGGGACAGCCCTCAGCTCCCAGCCCCGAGGGCATGACAGGCACCAGTTTCCCTGGAAATGTGCCAGAGGAGGAGGTCTTAAATGACCAGGGCAGGAGAAGGATGGGGGGAAATGATGTGCAAGGAGTTAAAGCAACAACGGGGCTCCTTGGGGTCTAATCCCGGGAGGAAGCCTATGGAACCTCCTACCTTAGGATCTGTTCTCAACCTTCTGAGAAGGCAGGCAAACAACCCAGCACCCTGTTGCGATTTCCAGGCCCATGCCTTTTCCAGAATCCAGCTCATCTGTCCCCATTCCTTGTCAGATCCCACGCTCCAGCTCCAGTGCCACGCCGCACTCGGTTGGGCCTGCCAGCCCCAACTGTGAGTATTTAATATCTTGTGGCCAAAAGCAGAGGCAGGCCCTAGGGTGGGAACCACTAACCTTCAGCACAGTCTGCAATACCTTGGATAGCTCAACTGTGTCTCCAAAAGGAATACTTTGGGGAAGCAAAAAAAGTCCCCCCCTGGTTGGTTCCAGCATGTGACCTGGGTCTCGGGGTGCAGTCACTGCATCGAGTGCTGGCTCATGCCTTGCCCTTTCCTCCAGCACCACTGGGTGGGAAAGGACTTCATGCTTTCTCCTGTCATCAAACCAAAGCACCACATGACTAAGTGACCAGTGACATCCTCTCTCACACATTTAACTCGAGAAAGAGGAACTTGTGGGGACAGTTTCAGAGAAGCACACACAGATTTGATGACAGCAAGACCGTATTTCAAGGCACATGAAGGACTCCTTTTGCTGCCTTATTTATATCCCTGGCTTTTTATTTCAGGGAGGAAAAATACGTACTATCAGATATGTAATCAAATATGATTAATAATAATGATACGAGATTAATATTCGAATATCAAATATGTGATCAAACTTCCTCAGGTCATGAAGATAAACACTCCCATCAGAGCTTACAGACTTAGAAGAATCCTCTCACAAGAATTCTCAGTCAGGCAAAACAGAAAACAAGGAAAAAAGCTGATTCAGGGAATTCAGAATTTAGTTTTGAATTATATGATGTGATTTATAAAACAATTTCATTGCTTGCCGCTTTCAGTAAAGCAGCATCTAAAATAAGGGGGAATGGACACCCACATTCAGAAACTCTGTAAGGTTTTGGCCTAAGTTATCTGCCGAAATTTAAGAGCATCTTAACTTCCTGAGAATGGAATACTTGCACTCAGTGACAAACAGCGAAGTATAAAAGAATATTCAGCCAGGCTAGGGGGGAGAAAAGTGCCCCTCAAAAGGAAGGAAGCTCATCCAGAGGCCTCTGTGCCTTATCTCTGCTGTACTCCTCCACATGTCCTTGGCCACTTCATTGAGACACACTCCACACAGAGCTCAGCAAAACCCTTGCTCAGAGAGGCAGATTGTTACGCCTGGCACTGGATCCAAGGGAATATTTAAGATGGCGTAAAAGCCGTGTTTCCATGAGCCTGCTGATGACGGGCTCTAAAGTCCCCTTCAGTGAGGACAAAAAGCTTCATTTCACAGGAAAAACATCCAGGAAAAGACATGCTGTGAGGAGCAGTGTGAAATAATACCACACTCCACCTGAGCTCCCTCCGGAATGTCCTCCCAGGAATTCTTCCTTCCCAGCAGCTAAAAGTGCATTTCTGGTACTTTCTCAGAATTAACTGTTCTCTATCTCCAGCTTAGAAGATTCTACTCGAGCTTTTACTTGTTTTCTCAGTGCTCTTCAGACTTTGGACTTGGATAAATTTCTGTCTTAAAAGTTGCCTGAAAAGAAATATTTGGCTGCCTTTTCTGCTGCATTTTTCCGAGGGCCTGACAATGTAAAAACTGACATGGAAATCAAAGCATAATGTCTCCAGGATGTGAGACAACCATGGGAGTCTGTCAGTGGGATTTTGCTGGAAAATCTTAATTATGATTCAATTCTAAGACCTCTGAAGTCTGAAATGACCTTGAGGCACTTCGCATTTCACAGAATTTAGCCAAATTTATCATAATCTGTTTTATGCCTGGGAGGGGGTAAAAAGCATTCCCACTCATGAAAGGGCACACGGAATGTGTACCAGCTAGGGAAAAGGAGAACAACAAAATAGAAAGTGTGACTTGCACAGAGAGTGACTAATAAACTGAAAAAGCTGGCAAATAAAGGCTCATAGGAAACAAAGCTATGAGGAAAAGGGATGTTGGGTAGGGAAAGCTGTCATTCCTTGATATTACTGTCACAGTACAGAAGTTCAGAGGAAGCACATGACATGCAGGAAGAGACTGGCCAGGGCAAGCAATAAGCTCTACTTCAAACCCAAGAAAGAATTCCAAGTGAGATTACTATGGGTAAGTAGGAGAGAATGGCATTAGACCATTTGAGTCAGCTAAGCAAGGACAAAACGCATTATAAGATGGAAAAACAGCAGAAAAAACTCTGCATCACAAGCTGTGTCCTTGAAAATCCACAGAAAACCAGTCTGCTTCCTATTCAATTTGCAGATGAGTCCCTGGAAAATGCTACAAAGATGCTAAAGGGCTTAAAATGGATTCAAAGCAATCCTGACATGCTGGACAAAACCTGGAAAACAAGAACGGGGCGAATGACTACTCCAAGCAGAACTTCTCAGCTGAGCAAGGAGCAAATGAGGAACAACTGGCCAGGCAGGAGTTCAGCACGGGAAGGATACAGGGATTTTGGTTGATTGTAAATATGAGCAATATCTTGGTTATGCAAAAAAAATAGGAAGCATCTTATCCTGAGGACATCTTATCTTATCCTTTGTCCTCAGGATAAGATAACCCTCTGTGCTTCTCAGCCTGGGTAAGACCTCTGGGGGTGACATCTGTGTCCAGGTTTGGTCACTGCTCATAAAAAATGACACAATGCCTAAAGAGGACTGCTGAGGTCCCTTTTAGCTGCCTTCCAGATTTTAATGGTTGATAATGGGAAGCAGGTCTGGATCTGGGGTGCCCCCACTACTAACCACTCTTCGAAAAGCTAATAGCATCTGAGAGAAAGCGTCTCCTCTCTGGAAAAAAAAGAGCTTTTCCTGCCAGCCACACTCCTCCTGTGCCACCTGCTGACTGCTGTGCAATGTTGCACAGAGTGTCCAGTGTTCACAGCCGAGATACTCCAAATACTGTGGGAAAGGGATGGGACAGAATGGCACTCGGGGCCACAGTTTCCTCACGGGGTGTGATGCAGGTCCACAGTATATGAATACTTTGCCCTTCCCATTTTTCTGCCTGCTTGGGTGGGGACCCAACAAGAAAGTGTCAAACAACTGCCAGGAAAACCTCCATGACAGCAGTGTCTTGAACCCTAGATTTTAGCCTGGCTCTTAGGGAGGGCTACTTTAGCCTAAGCACTTCCAGTGCCATGACAGAACATCCACAGGGAATAACAGGGCTCCCGAATTTGTATTTCTTTCTTACTTACTCACATTTCCATTTTGTTCTATTGTAAAACTGGAGGAAGCACTGTACACACACAAGGCTTGTTTAAGAGCAGTTCTCTCCACGGGATCAGACAGTGGCAAGGCTCAAAGGTGCTCCCTAAATAGCATCCCCAACTGTCAGAGCCAGGACAGTGGGATATTTCTCAGTCGAGATTCCCTGTCACCACACTAGATGGCACAGCTGACAGGATAACATCCAGAGAGTTCCTCTGGGACAGTAACCGTGGGCCAGCCCTTCCTAACAACAGCCCCGGCTGCAGAGCTGTTTATAGAGCTGTCAGAGTAAATATCTGCCCTCCTGTTTTGGCTCTGAAACGTGAAAAGGCTCCTGATCTTGGGCCAGTCAGCTGGGAATTCTGCAAAGTCACGTGCAGCTTTTCCAAATGCAGTCCAGCAACTGCCACCCCACTTACTGAACAAACAGTGGTGGCGTTCCCAGAACACTGCTCTCCAAACTAATGCCTCATCAGGAATGACTGCATGAACAAACTAGAGGCTTGAAATAATTAGAAACAGAACTGTATCCCTGAGACTTTGAGAAAGGGTCTCCTCACTCCTTTATTGTACTGGCACCTTGTCTGGTTCTAGTGAAAGCTTTAAAAAAAACCCCTAAGATACATTTTGGAGCATTTCTGTTAATCTGCTTTGGAAATTCTCTTAGGAGGCAGAGGTCTCCACGTTCTATGGGATGTAAGCATTTAATGAATTCCTAGAGAGGAAGGGACCAAAGCCAGGGGTAAGCTACTGCCTGCAATGACCCATGTGTTTGCTTAAGAACAGGAACCTCAGTCCCTCAGTGACCCTTCTCACTCTCTCCTATCCAGCATCTCTGCTTCTAACACTCGATAAGCGATCAGGAATTCAGGAGTTTCAGCCTTAGTATTCGCCATGAACCTTGCTTTAACAAAAAAAAAAAAAATAAAATAAATTATAGGCATCAAAAGAGGAGTTCAAAAGTAGACAACTTGGTTGCTGCCTGGACAGGGTTTCACTGTTACAGCCATGACTAAAACTAGTTATGTCCAGCATAAATATGTTTAAGGAAAGACATATGGGGTTAGCAGCTCCAAAGCACTACTTCTCCATCTGTGCTGAGAGCTGGCAGAATGATGCTCTTTTAGTGTAATGCTACAGTGACTAATGGGTTTTGTGTGCTCTGCTGCAGGGAGGTGACTGGGAAGTTTAAATTGCAGTGCACACACAGTACTTACAGAACAGCAGCGTGTGGGTGCCCGAACTGGCAATCCCAGCTGAGCGAGGTGGTGCACAGACACAGAGCAGGGGACTGGCTCTGTTTTGAAGGCTAGAGAAAAGGAATATAAGTAAACTGCAAAACCACCACTTACTACACAGAGCTTCAGTATTCAGCACAACTCATTACAGCCAAGGGTCTGTTTTAAGTAGCAAGGCTGAGCTGCACCTTGAAGCACCGACAGCAGTGAAAGAGAGTGCACCCAAACCCACAGCCACAGAGAAAGTGCCCAGGCGGGTCCTGGCTCCTCAGCTCTTCCCTCTCCTGCAGTACTGAGCAGGAGATGTGAGCAGTGCACATTCAGCACATGCCAGGACACATCCCACACGTCCAGGGACCAAAATAGACATTCTGAGTTACGCACCAGCTCAGCACCTCGCTGGAGGAGCACTCTGGAGACGGTGCCTGAGATGCCGTGGTAAGCAAAGAAAGGAAAAATATTGGGATCATGAATTCTGTGCATCTGCACAGGCCACCCTCTTCCAGATCAGCCAGGGAATAGCACCACGGAGGCTGCACACTTGTGCTTCTATAAATTCGAGTGACATTTGCTGTCCTGCTAAGCTGAGGTAGCGCTGCTCTAAATGACACTGAAAGATTAAGAAGTTCACACACTGGAAACAGACTTACTGGGACATCCACTTAGCCATTGTCTTTTCTAATGAGATAGTGGCTTAAATCTCGTCAGTGGGCCTTAGAGATTCAGTCATGGCAACACCTTTGGTCAGATAAAGAGAATGGATTAAAAAAAAAAAAAGGAAGCAATCAGAACTGAGTGGAATTGTCCCCCCTAACTCCTTCCCCGGTGTTAATCTCTGGTGTTATAAACATTTTTACAGGTTGTCGCTCCAGAACTACCGATTCAAAACACATAGTCCCAAGCTGCATTTATGAAATTTCTCAGGTTCCTAGTAAGATCTATCTGCACACCCTCTTAATTTTGAAGTACAGTTTGACATATCACTTCAAGCGTCATAAAATGAAGGTAAATTAAAATGAACATCAAATATCCTCTGCACTAATGGGCTCTGAAGTCCTGGTAATCCGAAAAGCTTCCTGAGCGTAACAGAGAAGCCAGGAGAGCAGGGCAATGTCAAGGAATCCAGTCATAGTCATTAGAGTGTAATGCAGAAGTTACAAGTAGTGAATTCATCTCACTTCTCAGGGATAGCAAGCCCGGATTTTCAAGCATTAAAAGTACCAGCAAAGCAGTCACCCGCGGCACACCCATTAGAGCATCTAAGGCCACCAGCACTGCTGGAGTTAAACCTGCTCTAGGTGACTCTGCCTTGGTCTAGATGATCTCCAGAGGTCCTTTCCAACCCTAACAATTCTGTGATTCTGTGAAACTTCATAATCTGCAGTTGCTGTAGCTCCAGTGCTTGCTTTCAGGCAAAAACCAGCACAGAACCTCACGCATTCAGTCCTCACCTTTTACCTGTCAGCTCCCCTCAGTTTTGCATCGTTTAACTGGCAGCACGGCTAAGTTGTGGAAATCGAGGAAAGAGGAGGGAAAAAAGGGAGAGAAGGCAGAAAAGGGGGTGTGCACGTGAAGCCTTTAAACTTTTCCCCCCGACTTTTGGAGTTTATCCCAACCCGCCTTTCC